GCTGGCTCAGTGACCCCAGTTCATAACTAACGTGTGTCTACCTGCATGTGCACACATGGTGCGTTCTTCCTCGTTCCCTAGGACGTGACTCACAAAGTAGTAGATGCGATCGGGGCAATCGCTGGCTCCTCTCTGGAGCAGACGACGTGGCTGCGACGGAACCTGGAAGTTAAGCCTTCTCCCAAAATAATGGTTGATGGAACCAATTTGGAATCTGATGTTGAAGGTACTGCTCTGAGATGCTCAGTCTTGCTCATAGGCCCATATTACTGGGAAATCATTTCTGCTAGCACCGTAAATACCACACCCTCATCCCTTTTCTCATCTTTAGCAAGGAGCATTTTTCAGGGGGAAATACCTAACTTGCCTTCACTTGCCTTTGTCTTGCTTAGATGTGCTGTCGCCTGCGATAGAGACCTCAAACATAACCCCCTCTGTGTACAGCGTCCACGCACTGACACTACTCGCAGAGGTAAACTTGTCATCAAGATTTTTCACATGAACTTTGAAGCAAACCGTTTTATAGCAAGTAATTTGTATAGAGGAGTTTTTAATTTGAAACTGCTAGAAATCACTAGATAAAAACAATACAAGGTTTTTGCCTTGTGTGTATTTGGATTACTTAGCTTGTTAAACATCAGTGATAATTACTTTAGATATCCCTCCCTCTCTGTGTACACTATTTTTTAAGTGTGTTTTTAAGAAAGGAAAGTACTTTTGTATCACAGTATGGGTGGGGGGTTGGAGGTGGTCCAGTGATGCCTGCCTCTGTGAAGTATTTCAATTTACCAAACATTTTTATATACATTGTTGGACAGGCTCTTTCTTAAACCTTGTTATAAGGCCTTTGGGTCATTTTTGTTTCCTCTTGACATGTAAAAGACTGGGCCTTATAAAAAGGTGAACATAGGACTGAGGCCGAGTAGCTGGGCCTGAGTGTCCCAGTGCCTTTGCTGAGCTTCCTCCAAGCCACCTAACAGTCGGGGTCAGAAAGAGTGCTGAGCTTCTAGTCCTAAATTCACTATTTAGTCACTGTCACTTTAGAAAGTTCTCGAACTCCCTTTTTTCTCAGTTGGAAACAGTCAAATTGGCCCACATTTGTATCCTATAGTTACAATGGATGGAAAAACAGATTGTAGCAAAAACCACTAATATAAAAATGATTTAGGAAGGTCCAATCTTAGATTTTTTGATCGTAAGGTATTCTAGGTTTTCTTACAAACTGACCGTCAGGCCCTTTAGCTGATAGCAGCCTCAGCTCCATGTTACTTCTGTGTCTTGAAGGTTCTGGCCCACCTGCTGGACATGGTTTTCTACAGTGATGAGAAGGAGAGGGTCATCCCTCTCCTGGTGAACATCATGCACTACGTCGTGCCCTACCTCCGAAACCACAGGTACTGCTGCCGTCAGACGGGTGCTCAGAGTCAGCCAGGGCCCTTACTTAGAGCAAGTTCTGCTTCCTTGTTGCCACTTCTGGAATTCATCATAAGATGATATTATTTTTACTTTGAATTATGATTGCTAAAAAACACACGTGTATTATTTCTCTTATGGTGCTTTCTGTTTCATGTCTTCATGTCACTGACCATTTATGTGGAACTTGAGGTGGTGATTAAAGTTAGAGCACACAGGTAAGGATCTTCCTTCCTCACAGCGCACACAACGCCCCCAGTTACCGGGCCTGCGTCCAGCTGCTCAGCAGTCTCAGTGGGTACCAGTACACACGGAGAGCGTGGAAGAAGGAAGCCTTTGACCTCTTCATGGACCCCAGCTTCTTCCAGATGGACGCTTCCTGTGTCAGTCAGTAAGCCGCCCTCCAGCTCTCCTGCACCCCGTCGCACAGTGTAGAACTCTGTTCTTTAGCAGTAACAACAAAACCAAGTTACACGTCATAATCTTCATCTCTTTCAGTTGGAGAGCAATCATGGACAATCTGATGACACATGATAAAACCACGTTTAGAGACTTGATGAGTGAGTATGGTGGGATGACAGCCTGGGTGGAGTCTCTCCTGAACTTGATTCATTGCTACTGTTTCCTTTGCTCTTTTCTAAGAACTACTGAATTAGCTCTTTGTTGTGTTACACTTAGGACTCTGCAGGAATATAATTTTAAAATTTATAGAGGACAACTTAGTGATAAATAATGAGTAAAACTATTTGCCTTCTGGGGGCACCTCATGGGAAGAGAGGCCCTATCTACTTCAACTCTAAATTGTTTCCCCAACCCACAGATCGTACCCGACACAGAGTAGGCAGCTGAGAAATAGTTACTGAAGGAATGACGGAGGAGGGAGGCAGAGGGAGGCAGAGGTCGGCAGCCAGAGGCCCCAACTTCAGACACATTCTGGGTTTCTAAGGTCCTGTCCGTCTCCCCTGATGGGAGAAAGAGGGTCAGAATCACCCACCCCCGACCCTTGAAGGGCTATCTTGACTGATTTACATCTTAAGGTTCCATTTAGTATTTCATTTGAAAAAAGGTTTTCTTGATCTATTTTGAAAAGCTCAGAAGGTACAAAATGAATGAACTTACATAACAATGAAATTAGGTGATTCTATAAAATTTTATATAGATTCCTTAGCCAAAATGATTTAATAAAGGAAAGAAATAAAATAAAATCACCCCCTAAAAAAAAAAAATAAGTTAAAGACAATAATGGGCCATGTATTGTGATAACCTTAAGCAAATTTTAAAAACTATTACAAAGACTAAGAAGTTGTAAAGGAAATAAAATAGGGTGATGTGTAACTGATTTTATTTATTTATTTATTTTTATTATTTTTTTTTTAGAGACAGAGTCTCACTTTGTCACCCTCAGTAGAGTGTTGTGGTGTCACAGCTCACAGCAACCTCCAGCTCTTGGGCTTAGGTGATTCTCTTGCCTCAGCCTCCCGAGTAGCTGGGACTACAGGCCCTGGCCATAACACCCAGCTATTTTTTTGTGGCAGTTTGGCCAGGGCCAGGCTTGAACACACCACCCTCAGTTTATGGGGCCAGAGCCCTACTCACTGAGCCACAGTTGCGGCCCTGTAACTGATTTTAAATAACAGGAAAAAAGCTCACATTTGGGGTGAAACTGAAGAAAGTAACCATGAGAAGTCCTCAGACAGGACATTCCAGGCACAGGGCAGCACAGACTGCAGCGTCCTCGGGGTGGGAGCGAGCTCGGTGAGTGCAGGGTGCCCAGCAAGATGGGGCGTCATGGCAGAGTGAGTCAAGGAGGGGTAGGTAGGTGGGCCTGGTCAGGCAGGAAATTACTGTTAAAGGTACGTGACGATGTGAGCAGATGCATACAACACTGAAGGATTTGCCCAGAGTTTTGTAAGATGATACTGTTCGTGGTTTCACCTTCTAACCTCTCTGTATCACAATTCCTATCTCTCGGTGTCCCATGTGTACACGACAGAACCAGCCTCCAGCCCAGAGAGGGGTCCCAAGTTCTCTACCCCAAGCTCCTCCCACAGTGGGATGTCATAGGGAATCTAGCCATTTTTAAAAAGAAGTAACTACATAATCTTTTTCCAAATGACTATTTGTGTCATAGACTCTCTTCCTTGCTTTCATTTTCAGCCCGAGTAGCCGTGGCTCAAAGCAGTTCACTTAATCTCTTTGCAAACCGTGAGGTGGAGCTGGAGCAGAGAGCCATGCTTCTCAAAAGATTAGCATTCGCTATCTTTAGCAGTGAAATTGACCAGTATCAGAAGTACCTTCCTGACATACAAGGTAAATACTTCTCCATAGAGAAAACTATAGTTTTTTCTGTTCCTGAGACAGTATTTTCAAGTGTAGGTAGATGGGCAGTGTTGTAGCACTAGAAATTTTCTACTGAAACAATGACAGTTGCCAGCTCAGTGTCGGAGAGAAGTGGACACCGAGTCTGTGGGGCTCCCTGCTGTACTGTCTGGTTCAAGTCTCCTGGGAAGTCATTTTGGGGGGTCATTTTTAAGGAGGGAGTTGAGGACAGTCTTGCTGCTGGAGGCAGTTAGCATCTTCTCATGGTGCACAGAGATCACATACTCTTAAGGAGAAGACCACAACACAGGCAAAGCCAGGAAATTGTGACTAGAAGCAATTCTCGGAGGCCTGTAGTTTGGGGGCTGAATAGGAGGTTGTGTAAGTACTTTGATAATCTTTATCATGTGGGTTTGGTGACCCTCTGTGTCTGGAAGGCCATCAGGACACTCATTACCACCCTGTGCTGCCTCGGTGAGGACAGACCTCAGCCAGGCAGAGTTACCTCTGCCGGGTCAGTGTGTGTGGAGCCTCCAGCCTCAGCACTGACACAGAACACGGTGGTGGTTGTGCCTTGGCGGGGACTTTTCTCATCTCCCAGAAGACAAGAGATTCCGTCTTTCCTAAGCCTCTTTACTTAATTGCAGATACACAATGTGTGTACCGTCCTGTAATTTTCTTTAAGTTGACTAGATCAGTGCTACTGAGAGCATGGTCCAGTGGCCAGTATTGTCTGTTACCCCATTCATGATAAGTGCAGAAATTTACAGCAAACATTTTAACTTCTTATTTGCTAGTTGAATAAATCCATCGAATCTAATAATAAGAAAATTATGTTTGTATTTTGATAGTTCATTTGTACACATCTTATGAAAATATCAATCTACAATAGAATAGAGTTTGTTTGAACAGTTGGTTCTTCACCACAGACAGTGTGAGGTTCTGGACTGGGCGGTGGGTGACAAGCTGCATTGTTGGGCACTGGAGTGTGACTGGGCGGCGGGTGACTGTGTTACTGGGCACTGGAGGTGTGACTGGGCGGCTGGTGACTGTGTTACTGGACACTAAAGGTATGACTGGGCAGGGGGTGACAGCGTTACTGTGCACTAAAGGTGTGACTAGGAGGTGGGTGACAGCGTTACTGTGCACTAAAGGTGTGACT